ACCAAGTCTGTATAACGCCAGGGTGCCAAAGGTAAGTGGCGAATCATACCAGCTCCGATACCAAATTGCAAGGAACATGAATATGGACGAAGCACAGAAATCCAGAATGCAAAATCACACTGAAGTCCAAGTAGTCCAAGCCAAAGCAGATAGCACAATGGAACCGAGTAACCATCCAATTGAGAATGATACAGAAGAATCGTGAGTCAATGTCCATGCCCAACAGGGCAACACCAACAGCATAACCCAAATGTAGCTCTCTCTTGTGAATGGCGCCAGGCGCACTATCTACTCTACAGCCTAGCCTACAACTACAGCAATGAAAGCAACCAGACAACTTGACTACCAGCGAGTGATGATGTCAACACCAATGCCGACCTCCACCTCCACCAGGTACGTGTCCTCTTCACCCACACTCTCCCTTGTACCCTCACAGCGCCCTTCACCTCGGAAGAACCACCTTCGCCCTTCACCTCCACTGCACCCTCATGCGGCCCGGCTATGGCCGCCAGTGCCCTGTGTGCAGGCAGCGCCCTACCGCCTAGCGCTGTCCTGCTGCCCTCAGCCTTAGCGCAGCGCAGCATGCATGCAACGCAGCAGCGTGCCGGCCTTGCTCGCAATGGCCAAGATCCCTGCCCACTCGCCCTGCTTGCCTATATGCCAGTGCTGCGTGTGGGCGGCCTCCCTTCAGCCTGCGATTGGGCCCCAGTGGCTGAACCCAGGCCCATTACAGTTGGGGCCCGGGAGATGCAGTTGTGCCTCTCTCGTCAAGGCCTGCGGCCAGATTCAGACAGTGGGCCGGTTTCCCTTTGCATTTTCGGCCTCTATACCCAGCGTGCATTGTCGGCCTCACGTTCAAGTGCCCAGGGCCTAACTAACTCAGAGGCCCTGGGCATTTCAGCATTTGCTGAGATCCGAGACTCGGTGCACTCCAACCAACTGGCGTGCTGCAACTGTACGGACCCCACTTCGTGAAATGTATGCACAGAGGGCTTTTGTTGATTTGCTGGCCCGCCTTCACTTAGGGCGGGCACGAGGCTTGCTGGGGCCTTAGCCCAGAACATGTACATCATGGCAAGGCCCCTTCTTCAGGGCTCATTCCTCACACATGTGTTATGTTTCGGGGAAGATGGTAGCAATGCTGCTTGTAGAGGATGGTATGGACTCGACCCGAGTTTTGATTCGAGTCGATTCAAGTCGAGTCGAGTCGAGTCATTTGTGTGTTTTGTTTTCCTGGGGCATCAGCATTCAGCAGCACTCTATGCAATTTTTTAAATATTTTTTTATAATGATTATTGTCAGGATTCAGTTCTGGGTATAGCACGTGTATGTGTTCTGTCCTTTGGGACATGCGATAAGACTGGAACGATATATACAGAAGAATCCTGAAGGGCAAATATAATAATGTAGATATAGACCTGGACGGAATGACGAGGAAGAAGAGCCATACATCACGACTACCCACAGCAGTGGCAACATGTTGCTTGCTAGCACGACCTTGGTGGGGAGCACATTCATGACATCATGGAGGCTTGGATTTGGCTGGACAACACCCAAAATGTTGCAAAACTGGTGATATGCAGTTAGGCTTGTGCATGCTATCACCACGGTGGTGGGGACTGCTTTCATGACATCATGGAGGCTTGGTTTTGCCTGGACAATCCTGCTGATCATGGTTCTTGTGTGTCCTCACAGCCATGTGACCCGCTAATATCATCATCTCTGTGGGGACCACCCCTGTGCTCACCCATGTAAGCAAGCAACCCCTTTGTGCCCTCTCTGTGGCAAAGGCCTTGCTTGCTTGGGCTGGTGTGGATATGTAATAACTGCAGATGTTGCTTCTGTGCCTTAGGACTGTGGTAATACATCACATTGTACACCTCACCCTGTTTACGGTGCGCCCTTGGGAACAGTAGGTGTTATTGTGCAATTACCCTCTGTGTACTTTAACTGCGGAGGTGCTTCTGTGCTTTTAGCCCTGTGGGCCCGTGGTAATAAGTCACATGGCACACCTCACCTGTTTACGGTGCACTATTGGGAACAATAGGTGTTGCTGTGCAATTACCCCCTGTGTTTTCCCTGCAGATATTGCTTCTGCGCTTTACGACTGTGGTGATAAGTCACATTGTACATCTCAGCTGTTTACGGTGCGCCACTGCGAACAATAGGTTTTACCCAAATTTACTGTGCAATTAGTAATTATGCTGTGTGTTTTCGCTGCGGATGTGGTTCTGTGTTGCGAGACACATTGTACACCTCACCTGTTTATGGTGCACCGACCATTGCAAACAAGCGGTGTTACTCAGCTACTGTGCAATTACCCTGTGTGTGTCACCCTGTGAACCTGTGAGAAGTCTGTTTCTCTCTCTCTCTCTCTCTCTCTCTCTCTCTCTCTCTCTCTCTCTCTCTCTCTCTCTCTCTCTCTCTCTCTCTCTCT